TATACCTATAATATGAGACTAAGGAACAGGTTACATAGAGGTCTATGACACATTGGTTTATCCTTTTAAAAAAAGTAGACGTTTATAAATAAAAAAGAAAGGAGGGACAATTCACAGAGGAAAAAGAGGTACACGAGAAAATACTGTTGCACGCAATAATTTTCACACAGATTAACATGGATTAACACTTTTTATTACAGAAACCGTACAGTGAAGGAACATGATGGACCAGGGCTTTTAAGGGGTTATTGAGACTGAGCTGAGATGACCTGGTAGAGAAAGATCTAGGAAGATGACTTTGGGGAGGGAGCCACGTTCCTTGGACTGGGGACCAAGCATCGCCAGGTCTCCTTTTCCCTGTCCTCACTCTGGGGAGTGTCCTGAACTCATGGGCAGTTGAAGGTAAACATTGCTACAGATCTGTTCTCTCGCCACCTTAATGGATACCATTTTTGGAAACGTGATATAATACCAGGCTGCAGCTCAACGCATGTGGTCAGAGCAAAATAGGATGGAAAATTCCAGTCATTGTGGTCTGTTGTCCCCACACCCTCCTATGCCTTTGTGGCTGGGGACCCAGACAGAGCGGCAGCACCCTCAGGGCCCCCAGCTCTGCTGAGGTGAGGTGACAGCAAGGGCTGGGCATGGGGCCTTGGCTGTGTGTGGGGGAGCAGGACTCACCTTGCTCGTTGGACACACCACCAAGGCTGGCTCCAGCCTCTCAAGGGCTCATCCATAAAGCTATACTCTTCCTATCAGAATTTTGGCTCGATATATATATATACACAAACATATATATCAATATCTCTATCTATACAGGGATTCTACTAAACTAGGAATCCTGCTGCCCCAAAGCATACTTTTTTTGTCAACTTCATTTGGTTAAAAAAATGCACACAAAGAGGGTGAGGGTTGCTTTGGGGGCTAGACATGATTGTGCCCTGGGTAACCTATGAGGAAAGCCAATTTTAAATGGGCAGTAACAGAAGAGTGAGGGATGGAAGGGGGTGGGGTAGCCAAGGGACCTAGAGGCAGAGGGAACAGGACATCTGCTTTGAAGGGCATGTAGGATGTATGCACCTTCCACTCAGTCACAGAAAGCTAGCGGATGGCACAGTCACGTCACTTTCCATCCTCTACCTCCTTCCTCATCTGAGCTGAGTACTGACACAGCAGTAGTGAATCTGAGACCCCGAGACCCAGCAGGGGGCAGGGGGGCAACTTTCAGGTTAAGTGGACGCTCCTCGTTGGCTCTTGAGCTTCCTGGTAGTCCCGGGTGCCTAAGCATGGGGCTGTGGTGACAGAAGGGAGGCAAAGGTGGTGTGGGGGAAGGGACCAGGAGAGAGTCATTGGGAAATTGGTTGGAAGAAAACTCGTGAGAGCAATGGCAGAGCCTGATTTCAGATACAATGAATCTGCTTTTCAAATAATAATGAAAAGCCTAAACCTCTAGCTTTTAAAAATATGGGTAAGCCCCAAAGATAATGACACAAAAAATTCATTTGGTTAACAGTGCAAAGCAAATCACACATACAGATAGGAGCCTGGGAGTATGACTGAGAAGGGTAAGATGAGAGACAGTCCTGAACAACATTCGAACAAAGAGATCACAAGAATGCAGTGTCAGCGCAGGTTACAGGCGCAGAGCTAATGTGTAATGTGGAGTCCCTGGTCCTGGGTGTGCTCCAGTTCGCAAGGTGTCGGCTAGTGGAATGGATCACCCCATAGGTCACTGTGGGTCCTCCACAGTTCAGTGATGGTACAAGACAAAAACCAAACAAACCTGATGTACATAGTAAGTTCCAGACCTGCCAGGGCTACACAGTGAGACCCTGTCTCAAAAACAACAACAAAACATCACCCCTAAAACCCCAATCAAAACCAAAGCCAAGAACAAAGAAAACTGTCATTTCCTGTCTGCTCCTGCCTGACAGTGGGCCTGTCTCTAAATCTTGGCTCTGCCATTGCAACCCCCCCCCCGAAGCAGACCAGGTCTCATGGACCACCCTGAGCTGCCCACCCCCACCCAGCTCCTTAGGCTCAGAAGCACCCAGGTCTGTGAGCAGAATCCAAGGCTTGCCCACTGACCTGGGCTTCACATCTCACCCAATGAGTAAATTAAAGGTACATATATCATTTTTACACAGGTTTTGTTTCAAAGGAGAAAAAATGACTAAAAGACAGCAGATGTGGAAAACCCAGCCAATGAACATGAGCATAGAAGTGTATGGTTCTCCTCAAAGCACGGACCAAAGTATTACTGCAGACTCAGAAACAGCAACTGCACCTTCAGAGCTACTCAAATCCCAGCATCTTCCACTGCCTGGTGAGTGATCTGTTAATAAATTGAACATTCAAATCAAGACAAAAATGGAAGAACCAGGGATCAGTTCATGGGCCTTTCCACACCGCCGAGAAGACCTTGCTGACAAGTGCCGACATGGCACAGGGCGCTATGTCTGGCCCAGGTTTGGGACTCACCCTTCCCACTCCATCTGGACTTCCTTTCACATTCTCAGGTTCACTTGGAAACCAACAGTATGGAGGGAAATGCATACACCAGGCTGTGGAACAATATGAGGAACACATCTGCCCTGGGAGACAGGGCTTCCAACAGAAGAGCCAATCAGTTGCTGTGGTGGAAGTCTGTTATAAACAGAGGTTTTCTTTAGAAAGTACCAGTTTAAATGTAAACTCTAAAATACTTTAACTATAAAATGTAGCCAGAAATATGCTTAAGTATCCACAGCCAATTATGTAGTTTATTAGTTTAAAAGGAGTCTTTTGAGAGGGAGAAAGCAAAAGGCATTTTATAGTAGCTAAAGACGTATGCTCCGCATGTGCATTTGAACACCACAAATTATGACACACAAAAACTATCTCTTCCTTGGTTTCAGTTCTGTTGTAAGGATGAGCTATTTTCAGAATTCACTTAAGCAACAGTGACCAGGGTACGTATTAATCATTACTTTCAGTCCATATAAAATTCATAGTCTTAAATTCCAAAGATCAAGCTTGGCTACATGATTTCAAAAAAGGCTAAAACCAGGATGAATGCCCACATTTGAGGTAATTATTACCGCTAGGTCACAGTTTGTCTAAGAGGATGTATCTAAAGCCTTCTAAAAACATCTTTAGGTGTTCTGTCAGAATCCCAGAATACCTACTGACACCAACCAGGATCTCAAATCCAGACGAGTTGGGTTTACTTCCAATGGAGTTAAAGTTCTAGAAGAGTTTAGAACTTGTGTAAACTATCTAAGGATTTAGGCAAATAAGCCTGGAGCCAGTCAGCAAAGAAATTTTAAAGAGAGACATGAGAAACCCACCCCCAAACAATTAAGCAGATATTTCATAGTACATGATAGTTTTTAAGGAAATGGAAAGCATAGTCCTAACGTGTTCCTCAGTTTTGTCAGCTGCATCTCTGTCAAACTCACGCCAGCCAGAGGTGCTTTTTCCTGCTGGTTTTCTCAGTCATTCGATTGTTTTCCATTTCTTTGAGAAGGGTATCTATCTCTCTTGAAAGGAAACTTAGTTTCGTTCCTCTTCCTAAAGGTCATCTTGCCTTTCTTTTTCTTCTTCTTTTTCCTCTTCTTTTTTTTTTTGTTTTTTTGTTTTTTTTTTCATAGAAAGAAAAAAAAGTTCCTGGACACAGACCCACATGGTATTTACAGATTTGGTGTGCACCCCGCAGCTGGTTCTGTCCAGCACTGAAGAGTGGGTCTATTACAGAGATCAGAGCTGTCACGATATTTATCAAGTGCAGTAAAAAATAGCATTTTGAAAAAAATATATACCTTTAGTATTGCCTTTCTAGAATTAACTATAAGCAAGAAAAATTATTTTTTTTTAAAAGAAAAGAACACTTTTTCCTTCTTCACTCTTATAAGAGTTGTAGCAGCATTACTAAAGCTAGTTGATTCACTAAAAAGAAACCAAAAAGGAATTCTAGGAATCAAAAGAAACTCCCCAGAGATTTTTCTTTAATGTTAGGCATATTCTGTCTCTTCTGCATCCAGAATTTAGGATTCCTCTTTGCACAGACCTTCTGCTAAGTTCCACGGCACAGGGAAGGCAGGGCATGGTACTGCCCATGCACAGGAAGCAGCTGAGGCTAGTATCTATGAGCTCAGTGCTGGAGCCACATAGGCTTGGTGCCCAGCTCCAGCGACTCTTGCTAGCTGGGGTTACAGGCTCTGCAAACCAGGCGCCTCCCTTGTACAGGACGGACACGGCTGACCTCACAGGGTTCACCCAACAATTCTTAGCACAGTGTTTGGCACACAGGAAAAGGAAGCATCATTAAAGGGTTCATCACAAATGTGAGGCTGCTCACTACAGTCAGCAGAAAGGGAAACAAAATCACATTTCAGTAAAGGCCTGATTAACAAAAAAACAGGGCTAGAAACTTGAGGATTTTGATTTGTATCATGTTTTCTCTTTCCTCCATGCCACTTTCGCACAGAGCAAGCTTTCCCATCTGTCAATCAAAGGGTGCTACCTTCTTCCCAGGGCGGGTGGCTGTGATGGATTCATGAGACGGTGCTCACAAAGGAACTGGCACACTGAAAGCACTCAAGTCCTTACTTGAGGGATAATGCTAGTGTCACCAAGAGGCAATCAGTGTAACGCCCATCTGCATGGATCTGAGATGAGGGGCTCTGGATGGCTTGGGGGAGTCTAGCTGAGGAACCAGGAAGCCCATCAGGGCTATGGTTCTGTGACAGGACAGCTTCCATGATCCTTTTTCTGACAACTGAGTCTGAAGGGAAGAGACTGCTTGGAACTAGCTTTCACCAGTTACCCCAAAGACTGAAACCTTTTCTTAGGTTGGTCACTACAGTGAATCACAGTGCCAAAGTCTTTGTGAGGTTTCTTTTGCAACCGAGTAAGCCTCATTCTGCCATCTTCGGTTCTCTAGTGGCTCGACACATTTGTCTGAGTCCTCACTGTGGGACTAAGGGAGAGTCTGGAGGCATGCAAGTGGATAGACACTGCCATCTCAAGTCAGTCTTGAGCTTCCTAAGCCCGGGATGCAGCAGGAGTCCTCAGGGAAGGCCCACCTGCTTGTTCTCTGGCTCCCCACTATAACATGAGTGCACTTAAGCCTGCATGAGCACTGTTAAGGGCCTCAGTTCCCGAGGAACTTCTCCAGTTCTCTTCGAAGGTTTTGAAATAAATGCAGGGAAAAAAAGGAGTCAGGACAGAGAGGAAGGAGACAGATAAATGGAATTGCATCACTGACATCATTGCTGCCCAGAAAGGAACAGGGGATGACATCTGTCCCTCTCTGGACGTGTCTTTGAGAAGGTTCTTTGGCTACAGAAAGGGACAGTTTTGTCTTTTTTTCCAATTTGGTAAGGGCATCCCTGGCCTGCTTCATTCTGAGGCTTCCCTGTTGAAAATCTGTAAAGCACATGAGAGGAAAAAAACACAAGAGGGGAGCAAAGCCTGTGAGTCCCTGGGCTGGAATGTGCTGTGGAGCAATGGCTCTCACCAGGGTTGTGCAGCCCCAGGCTGGGCCATGGAAGGAGCCCTCGCCTTGGGTGGAATTCTGTCTGCTAGTTGAGGGCACCGAGCTATTTTCTTTCTTTCTGTTTTCTGTTCTAGCAGCTACTTGGCAGACCAGCAAGAGCAACACCCGCATTCTACCCTGCCCTCAGCCAGATAACCTGGGGGAGGGTGGGCAGGGTGTGGGCCCAGTCGTTTTCACCATCATGAACCACCAGTAATACTTCCTTAAGCCTCCTCATCACCTCACTCTAATTTCCAAGAACGTTAAGCTCTATGCACTCATGCTCACCCAACCCAATCCTCCTCCACACATTGTTCAAAATGAGTGTTTGCAACTCCCAAGACTAGTCCAGGGAAGTCATCCTGTCTGCTCTGCTGATCTCCCCTTGCTGACTGACCCTTCCACCCTGTGGTCTCAGGTAGCTCCAGTCCTTGGGGGCAATGAGAACAAAACCAAATTGGCTTTCACAGCTCACAGACAACTCTGCCACCTGGAAGAGGAGAAGTGCAAATACAGTCCAGGGGGCACTGGGCCACTTCTGCCCACCTTTTCCTCTGAATCACACGGACCACTTGCTCTACTTCACAGGATTAACTGGCATCAACACCAAGCTCATCCACCCACTGGCCTGCTCACCCACTTTCCTCAGAATACCCAACACATTACCCAACGCGCCAACACAGAGACATACACAAGTGCCAAGACCACATGGGTAAGAATCTGGCAAGCAAGAGAGCAAGCTGAGGGTTGTGAGGCTCCATAGACCTTCCTTGACCTTTCTCATCTTCCTCAGTTGAACAGTGTTTCTTCACTAAGGAAGGCCCAGAGGATGTGTCAGGCTGGGAAGTATGGTCTAATAAGGACTAGGTGGGCCTCCCTCCACTCAAAGTATAGTCCTGAGGACATGGCCTTTCCTCCATCCTTTTTGTTAAGGGGACTCAGTGCTGAGCACCTAGTGGGGACTAGTGTTAACTAACTGGGATCTTCTCGGGTGGGCTCCTCATGCATCAGCTCTGTGCACAGGACTAGAGATCAGGGGAGGACTAGTGGGCTAAAGGTTTGCTGAGTGGCGGCTGTCTTCTCTTTGGAGAAGGTAACCCTTCAATTCTGTTTTCACTTGGGGCCTGGTTGTTTCTGAGCATGGCAGGAAGACAGTGTATAGGCACCTTCACCACACTGCAGGGCACTGAGGGGAACAGTCAAGAGTCTAGGAGACAGGGGGCTACAAGGTCCCACAGTGTCCTTCTCTTGTCAGTGACTTAGAAGGGACATTTCTAGCAGTGTCTGAACAGCTGCTGGACTTTGTGTGGGGCTTTCTGCTGTCCTCCTCGGTACTTTATTTGGCTCACTAGAATTGTGTGCTGGGAGGATATGTCTGGGGGAGGAGCAAGCTAGGGAAGTGGGGAGGAGGCTGATATGTCTCACAGGAGGTCTATCACTCTCATTATACCCAATGGCTTCCAGGAGGGGAAAACTGTCTCTGCACTGAGGGAGGTAAGCCCTACTCTGGGTGTGCTGATGGGAAAGGGTGAAAGTTTGGGAAAGGGGTTGGGTAAGGAAGAAGACTCTTCTTATGCTAAATATCAGGTGTGAGGCAGACTAAAATCTTGTTGCTAGATTTCAGACATGCAGGAGAGCACAGAGGAAGTGCGAGAAACTGCCACAGTCCTGACCTCAGTGCAGCGGCCTCCCCAACCCAGCTGCTCCCAGGCCACAGGGAATCCAGACAAATACATTGACGGTGGCTGCGCAGAGAAAAAGACCTTGCTTCTTTAGTCTGTGTTTTGTGGTAGATCGTCCCTGTTGGTTCTTTTTGGAGCAGAGAAGAAAAAAGAAACAATTTTCCTAATTCCTGGGCTTTTCTTTCTTTTTTCTTTTTTGACAAAATCAGCTATTGGCACACTCCTACAGCCTACTCATATACCCATAGCTATACTAAAATTAGTTTAAATAGTAAGGAGAAAACATAAGGATACTTGGAATAAATGTGCACTTCAAACCCTGACTAAAATAGCAACAAGATGACAATGATCATAATTACAATGGCAATAACAAAAATAATCAGTACAATAATAACTTTATGAGCAGCACAGAATTTTCATTCCTGATCTAGAAGGAGAAAAGGGAAGGACATGTAGGGTGAAAGAGAAATAAGCTTCAACATAAGTAGACAAGGGATGGAAGGACAGCAGGAATCCTCTTTCCCTTATAAGATCAGCTCTAGAAGGTTCTAGGAACCCTAGATGCCACGCAGTAAGGCAAACCCAGGCCTGCTTTCAGCCACGACTAGCTGCCTGATGACTTAGAATGAGAAGGTTCCATGGGCTATTGCTGCTGTTTGACTGTCAAACAGTCTCTGAGACATGTCCATGGTGGCAGGGGTCTGGATGACTCTGGCTCAGGGGTCCTCCAAAGGTTTTGCTCCCCTCTCTGAACTGATTGTTTTCCTGTTGTCTCACTTCTGGCTAAAGCAGGTGCTGACCAGGATGAGGGCTGCATCTCCCTGCTATAGGCCTGTACCATTCTGCTCCCAGCAGGCGCTTGCCACTTCTGCCCAAGCAGACCAGACCTTGCTCAGGTCTTAATGTCCCTTCCTTTTGGCCCAAAGTATGTACTGAGACATTTCCAGTTTGGGAACCTAGTTCTTTATGAGAATTTATGAGTGAGGTGGGGAGATTTCCAGAGTTTTTTTTTCACAGCTAAGAGCTAAGTAACAGCTTTGTTATTGAGGGAGGGGTAGGCATCACTGGGAAAGCCTTTCACAGATTCCTCAGGGCCTGTGGTGGGAAGAGGGAAAGGGCAGGGAGACAGTCTGAGGTTAGGCTGCTGACCTAAGAGCTCTTTGCACCTGGAGATTTGGATGAAGGGTCAGCTAGAACTCATACCAGGATCAAACAATCTGAGCAATGGATATAAGCCCCATCCTTGACCAGACCCTATCTCCAGCATCCATGTGCTTCAGAGTTGCTCACTTGGAACAGAGAACTCCTGCCCAGCTCTCTGCATGCAGTGTTCAGAGCCTGAGAAAATGTTCAGAATGCATTAGACATGCGGAGGGTGCAGAGCAGATTTCTTTGGAAGCATAATCATCCATGGGAGTGTTTTCCCAAGAACAGTGCAGGGCTGCTGGCTACCCTCCTAAGTGTCCCGTCAACTCTCTGTTCAAGAGGCCAAGATTAAACTGTCTGGGGAGACCTGGGTTAACTGCAGGAAAGAACTGACAGCAAATATGTAGGTGAAGGTCTACAGATGGAGGGAGCTGGCAAAATCAGGAGCTCAGATGCAGCCCCTGGAGCTGGTAGAAAAATGTGTGTGGGTCTGAGAATACCAGGCTTTTGGTGGGAGGAGGGACTAGGGGTGTACCCAGAACAGAAACAGGTCTCCTGCCTTCCCCCCATATGGCTCCAGAAGGGAGGTGGTGGGCTTGGAGGGTGAGGCAGCTACCTGGGAAAGCCAACATTGCTAAGATACCCTAGTGCTATACCAGGCAGAGCTGGGGTGGGGGTGGGGATGAGTCTCTCTGGATCTGCCCTCAAAGCCCAACTCACCAAAAGAACCAGCCCTGCCATCAATGTGCCCACCATCTGGCTCCCATTCTCCTTCTTTTAGCTCTATAAGCTTCTCTGACATCCTTCTGCTCCCAAACAGCCCAGGAAAGAGAATCTGCATGAAACTAAAACAACAAAAACAAAAATGAGAAGGAAAGACCCAAGTGAAATATTACAACAGCACAACACAAGAGCTGAGAATGAGTTTGAGCAGCCCCAGCCCATTTCTTGGAGTTCCAGTGGAAGTAAACCCTTCGCTGCATCTGTCTGTCGGTCGGTAAGGCACTAGGAGGGAATGATGTAGAATCAAGACTGTGAGGGCTGTGATGGCGGTGCCAAGGGACACACGGGGAGGGTGGCAGCCCCACTCACACCCACACGTGCTCACGCACACTCACTCAGACCACCACATTGGTTCCATGCCTATGTTATATCACTTTTTTGTGCAATTACATTGAGGAATAAGTCTATTGGTATCACTGACGTTGAACACAAGGTAGGAAACAAGGGCGCAGAGTGCTACATTCTACTAGGGTGTCTGATGCCCACTAGTCCTACACTACATGACTAGAAGGTGATTCAAAGAGAAAACAAATCAGAAAAAAGTAAAGTCTGCAACACACAATATTAATGACATCTGAGGAATAACATTGCTTAGAGATTTATCCAGAGTACTCAGAAAGAGGAAACCTGCCCCTCTCTCAGGGCTCTTCCATCAGCCTGGTCAACCCTTATTCTTGACAAATGAGCCAGAACTGGACTTTGCCAATCCCAGACCAACCCCAAATATGAGCCTCCTCTGGCCATGGCCTGACATTTGGGAGGGGTGTTGACCCTTTCGAGTTCTGGAAAAATCCCTAATTTTCATGTTCAATTAATTAAAAATCTATTGGATTTCCATATCAGGTGTTCCTGACAGCAAATTCTTCAATGTCACTTGCTGCCATATGAAAATAATCTTTGAAAAGTTCATAGATAAAAGTTCTTCAAAAACTGGGGCCCCTTGTTTCCAGACTCTTCCTGTGGCTCTCTTCTCCGTTCCAGTTTGGTGCAGAGTGGGTTCGTCGGCATTTTTTTTTTTCTTTTTTTGTTAGTGACATTTTTCTTTTTTTTCCCTTTTTCGTTTTTAAAATAAAAAGCATAGTCCCCCCCTCCTTAATCCCTTCCTTTTAAAATGTTTTCTTCTCTGCTCTAAGTCCTTCCACTTCCTAGTTCAAGTTTCATTTGTGTCCCAACCGTCCCCTTGTCCCCTGCCCCCCTCCCTGTCCCGTTTGCATTGTTTGTGTGCGGCACCTACAGTATAAAATCCCAGCTCCCCAGGGTTGGTCTGGGAGCTCCTCCCCTTCCCTCCCTGCGGGCCACCTCCAGTGTTTATATGTAAGGATACTGGTTGACCTTGGCAGGACTTAGTGGGTATCCAGTGTAGACAGTGGAGGCTGGCGAGGCGCTGATGTAGGTCTGGTGGGCAAACTGGGTTGGATACTGACTGGGGTGGATGGTGGGTGAGGGAAGGACCCGGGGCCCCATGCTCACAGGGACCTGGTGGACGATGCTGGCTGGGTAGGCAGTGTGCTGCACGGTGTGGCGCGCTGAGCCTTGGGAGGCCACTAGGTGGGCCATGGTGCCAGTGGAGCCCAGGGCTGTTGGTGCTGTGTAGGTGTAGAGGTGAGGCTGGGTGGGAAGGTGGGTGGCAGCGGCCAGGTGGGGGTGCACAGTGCCGTGGCTGGGGCTGTTGTGCGGAAAGGTGTATGGAGCCTGGGCCATGGTGGGAGTGATGTAGGCCTGCTGTCGACGGTGGTTCCCAGCACGGTCTGCAGCCATGTGCTGTTGAGCCTGAGGAGGAAAAGCAGCAGAGGGGCTGAGTTAGGAGGAAGGACAGGGGGAGATGGAGGGAGAGGAGAAGGAGAAGCAATAGTGACAAAAGATGCTTCCTTTCCTGTGCTGAGAGAATGAAAATTTGGACCAGCTGGCCAGTCACCAGACTAGGGTGTCACCCAGCAAAGTCAGAGCAGCTAGTGGGACACTCAACTGAAGTGTCAGAAGGACACTCTCTTGAGTGGTGACTGGTTTCTCCCATGATGTGAAATCTTACTCTCTAAAATTGGAGACGTCTACTGAGTCCAAGAGAGCAAACAGCTCTCTCTCCCATAGAGACACTAAGTCACTGTGACACATGTGCAAATGCTAGGATGTTCTTTTTATGGATCTGGGGTATCCACGGTGACGCAACTACAGGACTGTCCCTGGTGGCCCAGGCTGAGGGCAAGACCACGTCTACACTTTGCTGGTGGAGACAGCACTATGTGGGCCTCTGATCTGTAAGTTGGCCCTGGCACCATGTAGCTAAGCACTCTGTAACACCCGACAAGTCACTTTGCTTTGGGCTGGCTCTCTGTGAACCAGCCATACCCAGGGCTGGTCTAGGGTGAGAGGAGGCCATGGAGGACTTCCCTCAGGGCCCTGCCAGCTGTGGCTGATGGGGCTTACCTGGCTGAGATTGAGGGGCTGCTGCTGCTGGAAATGGGGGCCTGGCCGCTGCTGCCGGTAGGTGATGGCTCCCGATGAGCTCCCTGAAGAGTGACCGCTGGTGGAGGTCACATTGTTGGAGGACTTGGACTTGTAGGAGGATGAGTGGTGACTGGTATTGACTGTTGGGGGAGGAGGAACAGGTCACAGATCAGTGGTAGGTCCTTGGCTGTCCAGAAGACGCACCTCCCTCCTCCTTCACTGAATAGTAGCCTTCCGGGAAGGAAGCAAAGCAGTGAAGGGCAAAGATGCAAGCCCAGCAGGGCCTCACACTGGTCCTCTGGGGAAGTAATACAGTGACACATGGGACGTGTGTGGAAGGATGCTTGCCTGGTCCCTTCATGGGTGGTTGTGAGGATCAGATGTGATCATGACAATGGTGGGACTAATAAACAACCAACGTCACAGCAGATGTTAAAATAACCCTGCAGGTTTCCTGACCCCACGCAGGGTAAGACTAATTCTCCCAGGTAATGGTCTGAAACTATGACAGATTCCAGGGTGTGAAGTCAGAGCTGGGGCGGGGGCCAGGCAAGAGAGAATGCTGAGTTGCTGATGAAGGGAGGCGTGTGCCTTCGAAGGTCCTGGCCCCAAAGGAAGAGCAAAGTGGGAAACCTGGGACAGGAGAGTGTGGCGTATGCAGAAGGCAGAGGGAAACATCTCAAGAGAGATCTCCCAGCTCTAGGTAAAGAGAGAGCTGCTTTGCTAGGAGGGAGATGGCAGGTTCTAGAAAGAGATCCCTAAATCTGACCATGCTCTGGCACCTAAGGTCTCTCCCACATACTCACTGTATCAGAGTTCCTTGGGAGGGTGCCTGGGGTTTGGTCTAAGCTTCCCAAGAACCCACAGCCAGCCTAGTACTAGTGGTGCACAAACATGCATCTGGGACTCAGGGCCCTGAGACCAAATACCGTGCCCAAGTGAACCCAGTTAGATTCTTAAAGCCCCCCCCCCAAAAAAAAAACCTGGAGCAGGAAAGAGGTTTTTGTGGATTGGATACGGGGTCAAACAGAAAGCTGCAAGCCTTGGCCATCAGTAGAGCTTCCCTTTTTCTCCTTCACAGGTCCATGTGCTTGTGTGTTAAAACTTCAGCTCTACCCAGCTTGGCAACAATCTGAAAAGAGCTGCTGTTGGACCCAGTCTGATCATCTCTGCTCTAGTCTAACGTCTGGGATACTTTGTAGGGATCATGTTTGAGGAACAATCAATGAGTTCAAGGGTCCTACATTCTGAGTCTGCTAAATGACAATGTCAGAGCCTAGTGTTCCACTTGCGGCTGTAATTGTGGGGACAAGAGATGGGGACTGAGTCAGAGCTGGTCAAGCTGTCAGAGCAAAAGAGCCCTGGATATGGGAGTGTCCTGAAGGAATCAAGAGATTCAGGGAGCGACTGCTCCTGCAGAGGTGAACGAGGCAGCAATAGGTCAATCGCCTATGTAGATTCTGTAGCTATGAGGGAACAACTGGTCATTCGTGCTCTGTGTGTGCAAGTGTGCTTACAGCACAGGTGAGCTTGAGAGCCAGACCCTGAGGGGATGACCACAGGGCCCTGGGCCAGGCCACTAACCTCTGTGCACTGACATCTCTTTTGTGTATAATCTGCAGCAATCACAGAGGTACATGTAGAATTACTATGAAGACTAGTCATGTTGGAGAGAGACTGAGGGATTCACGCCACATATACATCTCCCTTAGGGAGCGGCTCAGCAGCCTCAAGTTATTTCTCAATCAGGGCTCTGTGGGGCCCTACACTCTGCTCCTTACCCCTAAGGCACTGACTCTGAAACCAGCGTCAACTCTACACTCTGTGGGGGACCAGCTAGGATGTGAAAACAGAGCAGTGGTGGCAGGGTACAGGATGGATGTATTTAATGAGCCTGTCTTCTGAGGAAAGTAGCGGGAGTACCTGCAAAGTCACAGGGAGAGTTCTGTCAAGGAGGCCCAAGAGCACATTCCATTTAGCTGCCTACACCCTGGGTCAGAATGAGGATGCTGAGGGAGAAAGCCATCCAAGCCTGCTTCCACTTCCTTTCAAGCTGAGTTGCAAAAAGGGCTCTGTTACGGGCTTGCTGTGAGCATTGGAAAGGCACCACAGGCTGGCCTGCAGTAAGGGACTGGAAAAGTCCCTAGAGATCCCATTCTGAATCCACTCTGAATCCTGGGTGGCAGCACCCCAGAGCCTGTACCTCCCAGGCCTGGCAACAGGGTGACTGCCCAGGAAGAGTCCCTACCTTCCAGGGAAACCTCAAGTGTATCCTGGGGCAACTTCAGGTGACAGACAGGAAGTCCCTCCTAAGGGATGATAGCTTCTCAGGGCTAGGCAAAGGTTGGCATGTGTCCTTTGTTTCCTAACAAACCATAATGGAGGTGCTGCCCGGTGTGGCTATCACTGGTGACTACACATGGATTCTTTTGGCTTAGTCTCACGGTTCTATGTGAACACAAGGAAACACTGAAGAGATGCTGCTAAGCAGGCTATCGTGAGCCACTATGTTGATTTATTTTGGAGGCTAAGTTCCCAGGCTTCAAGCTAAGGCCCAATTTTTCAGGACAAGCCTTGTGTGATGTTAGTTTCTTAAACAAAGCTGAAGGAAACATGCTCACCTCTGGTCTCTGAGGAACCTTTATGAGCCCCCTCCCCCAACATGGCACACTCAGAGGGGATGCTTCTTTCACGGGACACCTGACCTACCAGTAGGATCCTAGATGTTAGTTAGTTAGGAATGCCCACACCAGGTATCCTCCCAGAGCTGGCAAGACCTGAGTGCTTTCATTTTGTTATTTATCAGTTTTGACAGAGGCAGAGCCATTGTGAGGGCAGCAAGGTATTGCTTATAGAATTCAAAAGGGGGACAAATGGAAAATGCTCTGTATAGTACATGACAGGGCAGAGTTCCACTGTGGCTGCTTGAACACAAAATCTTGTGTAAGGATAACCTGCAATAATTAGGCACTTTCTGTTTTATTAGTGCTAACATTTCTAATAGCAGAAAACAAGAGACAGGCTCTGGTCTTGGATTACCTGGCCCCAGGCTGTCACATTCTACCAATACTTCACTGGCCTGGGTCTTCAGTGGGGGCACGATGATGGTCCGGGGGTTACCAGTACAGTGATTTTCTAGACCCCCCTTCGTGTCGAAGGTGTTGGTGCCATTGTGCCCTGTGCGCTGCTGCATGGAGTAGGGGCTGGTGTTGCTGGAGGAGTCAGAGTAGGGAGAGTCATGGACTGTGACACAGCTGATGACATTTTTTCTTTGTTTGGAGACAGTGCTGCAAAAACAAAGGGAAAAGTCAGAATTGTGAGGTGAGTTAATCAGTCTTTCAGAGAATCTGTTTTGTGAAAAGCCCCTGGTCATACCCTGCCATTGGTGCTTCTGAAAAACAGAGTGAAGCAATCCTGAGTGAGACTGCACCATCCCCAGGTGGCAGACTCAGCAGAGCTGGGTGATACCACTTCTGGCCACCAAAACAGGAGTCTGAGCAAAGAAGACACAACCTGCATGAACCAGGCAAGATGTGGACTGGGTTGGAAGGAAAATGGCCATGAGTTTGGGCTCTGGACCTGTAAGAGTTGTAGGAAGGGATGGAGTGTTCAGTGATCAGGGCACTGCTGAAGGGATGAAGGACAAATCCCAACACCATTCAGACACTCTGACAAAGGAAAATTGAGTTGAATTTGGGTGATTGTGTTTGGGTGCACCCAGGACCTTTGGGTGTCCTCTTTCTAGGGACAGCCTAGCTTTGGTGCAGAGATCCCATCCTCTGGGCAAAGGTCAAGTGACAGCACTGCCTTGAAGCCTAGAGGAAAGGCTCTTATGTGTCAATGCCACCAGGACATGGCTCTCGACCCTGGTCTTTATTTTCTAAATGGAACTTTACCTGGTGATGGCAGAGCTGGCTTGGGATGGCTACTGGCCAGGGCCCGATTCTCAGAGAGCTTTGTGCTACCATTTTTACTCTGGGAACAAATCCTGTCTGCCTGTGGCTTGCTTAAATGCCAGGTCAGAGCAGAGATGCAGACCTATAGAGCCTGGGGATGCCAGCGGGGTGGGGTGGGGTGGGGGGAGGCACAGCAAGGCAAAGGCTCCGGGAAGGTCTGGCCCCTACTCCTCAAGCCCCAGACTACTGACACCTGGACTGGACCATACACCACTGGTCATATACCCTGACCTTTTTGGTTCAGGGGAGAATCCCTAGTTGGGTCTGTGGATGAGAACATGGGCTTGCAGTCAGATATTTAACTTCAGCAGCGTGTGCTGGTGACAGAGCCTTGGTCAGCCATTCAACTGCTCATGGATCTGATGGTCTCTACAGCAAAATGTGGGCAATAACAGAACCTATATCACAGGCTGTTCTTAGAATTTGGTGAGAAAATACCAACAGAGAGCTTTGAACACTGCAGAGCACCTGGAAAACAGTCTATAAAAGTGAGCTGCTACTCTTATCACAGGCTGAGCATCCCTAACCCAAAAACCCAAAATGCTCCAAAATCTAAAACTTCTTGAGTACGAAGTGCTGGGAAATTCTACGTCTGACTGATTGTGGTCAAGATGAGGGTACACTGAGGTAATACTATATAAAATTCCCTTCAGGAGGATGTGTATATGGGAAAATCTGGAATCTGAAACATCTGTGCTCCCAAGCCTTTTGGATCCAAGATACTCAACTGGCACTCTTATTAGATGTGCCACCTTGCCTAACATTGCAAAAAACCTTATCAGGCAGAGAGAATTCTATGAAGGTAAGGATTTTCTTCCTAGTCTGTGCTAAGGCAGAAGACTGATAGAAAGGAAGATGAGAAGTCATTAGTTTGGAGTCTTGGAGATCTCTGACAGGTGCCACAGGGAATACCTGCACAAAGAAACAGAACACATGCTCTGTCCTCGAGAAGATGAAAACCACAGCGGGAAACTGTATAACAACATGACAAGTCAAACAGTAAAAGCTTTAAAATAACCAGTTAGAGAATAATGAATGTCACAAAGCCTTCTGTGATTAACTGTCAAATGAGTTGCACAGATGATAACTGTTAAGAACTCAAAAGAAGGTGAGGAATGAAACAGTCGCAGATATTTACAGCACTTTATATTAGAGAAAAAAGATACATTTTATCCATATTTCTCACTTGTAATGGTTTAAACCCAGAAGTCTATGTGTGCTACAAAAAGCTCAATAGAGATTTACCATGGCAATTCCATCCCTAGGCATGTACCTGAAGGAACTGAGGATGAGACTCAAACAGCTCTTATTATGCCAATGTTCCTAACAGCATCATTCACAGTAGCCAAGAGATAATGGTCTAAGTGTCTGCCAGCAAGTGATAGGTAAAATCTGGCATATACACACTCTGGGATACTAGTCAGTAAAAAGGTCAGGTGAAGTTTGGATACATCCTATAAAATGCATGAACCATGAATGCATCATATTAATTAAGCCAGAAACAATATTCCATGATTCCACACATGATATATCAAGAATTAGGCAAACTCATACAAAAAGGAAGTAAGATTACAGGCCCAGAGGCTGGGGGCAGGACAGAAAGAAATGTGAGGCTACTGGGCATAGAATTTTTGATTGGAATGACAGAAAAATTTTTAGAAATAGATACTAGTGACAATGCCTCCGAACTGTACACTTAAAATGATTAAAATAGAGCCGGGCGTGGTGGTGCACGCCTTTAATCCCAGCACTTGGGAGGCAGAGGCAGGCGGATCTCTGTGTGTTCAAGGCCAGCCTGGTCTACATAGTGAGTTCCAGGACAGCTGGGGCTACAGGGAGACCCTGTTTCAAAAAGACCAAACCAAACCAAACCAAACAAAACTCATTAAAATAGCAAATCTTGTATTTTGCCATAGTTTTAAAAGAACTAATATGAGGGTTGGGTATGGTGGCGCACGCCTTTAATCCCAGTACTTGGGAGGCAGAGGCAGGCAAATCTGAGTTTGAGGCCAGTCTGGTCTACATAGTGAGCTCCAGGCCAGCTGGGGCTATAGGGAAAAGACAAAACAAAAAAAGAATATGTAACTCCCAGTGAACTGTACACAGTAAATGGGTGAATCGTATAGTAGGTGGCTGTATCTAATTTTAAAAAGCTCACGGGCTTATCCAGAACAAAAAGCCCACAAGATTCAGTCTTGGTCTCTTGGAGCAGCACAGCTTAGTACAGACTCCTGGGGCTGCAGGGAACTGAGATCTTGCCAAGGATTAGAAAAGGTCCTGAGCAGGGAGACGCAATGGAGATCAAGGAGCTACTGTGGAAAGCTGAGAAATGTGGATGACCTGCCATCTTTTCTGAGGTGGGAGGGGTCAAGGGAAGCTGCTGGTCTTTGAGCAGACTGCTGTGTCATGCCTTGTTGCTGGGGGGTGGAGGGGCATCCCTCCCACCTGCATAAGTTTAAAGTGCTCCTAGCACCAGGGGTGAGCTGGGAGTCTACTCCAGGCTGGTCCCCAAGGGGCTGCAGAAGGCACACTGCCCTGCTTTTTACCCAGGGCCTCTGTCCCTGTCACTTGTACTTGATTAAGTGACCTGAACACAGAGTGGCTCTTCTGGTCATCTCCTGGAACAGGCACATGGCTCTGCTGCAGGGGCACAAACTGTAGAGTGGAGGATTTGACATGAAGACAGAGGCTGCTCTGGCTCTGGTTCTGTTGTCCTTTTACTGGTGGGACCCCAGATAGCCATGGCCTGGGTAACCTGTAATATCCACCCAGCTCCCACCCACTCTGAAATCCACTAGAGGAGAGAGATCACTCACAGCATGAAAGGGTCACTGTGAATATTCCTTAGAGATTTATTATGAAAGACATTCAAGGCAAAATATAGTCTACTGTGCATGTGAAGAGAAAATCCCTTTAGTGGGCAGAACTTACACATAAGCCTGGTCCTGGCCAGTTCCTGCTGAGAATATCTTTCCTAGGTTCTCAGTTATTTGAAAATAAGCAAACTAAACTAGCAATATACACACAACACTAATTTTGGCCAAACTGTGACCTGATCTCAAACATAATTCAAATTGTGCCCATTTGGAATTCTTAACTTAAATTTGGAAATTGTAGAGATGCTTCAGTTTAATGCAGACAAAATTTTTTCAACCACTGGAACTTTCCAGTGGCACAACGGGCTACTTCATGAATTAGCACCCTGCCACTGAAGGAGGGATTTCTGGCAAGAGTCCTGTGAGAGCTGGGAGTTTGGCTGGATGACTTGTGAGGACTTGTAGTCTAGTCTGCAATGGAAAGCCAGCAGGCAAGGAGCAGTGCACGTTAGTGTCTTGTTATCTATGAATGAGGGGAGGAGGTAACCTCTCCAAACCCTTCATGAACCTCATTCCTTTGTTTGCAGCTGGGAAGCTCATGACTAATAAGCAAAAGTGCACAGCACAGCTTAACACATCTTTTTGGATTTATATGTGACAGGTTTGGGAAGGGTGAATTAATTTGATAGCTCCGTTTCTAATCTTGTCTATTATTAGAAATGTCTGTGTTCTATGTAAATATACTATCCAGATAAGAGCAATGGGAAGGTGTTAAATGGCTCACTTTAAAAAATGAGCACACGTTTGGGATTGCTACTGAGGGCTCTTTCGGCTCACGTGTCGATACCGCAGGGATTCATTCTACCATGGTGTCTAATTATTATCGACAGTTTATCAATCCCATTCCGAGTTGGTTAAATGGAAGTGAGAGAGACAGCAATAGGAAGAGAATGAGAAATATTTGCGCAAATGGCCTTGACAGACACCACTTCTGAATAAGAAGCAAAGCAGCAAGAGCTCACAACTGCATTGTGTTGTCATGGCAATAGATGACTTTCATCATTTTAAAATGATGAAAAGAAATAAGAAGCTAAGAAGTATAGAAATGAGCCCCAAAGGAGAAAATGCAGCCAGGGGATCAGACACAAGCTTGTGACCCTTTGCCTGCAGGGTCCTGTCTGGAATGTGATTCTGATTTCTATTTGCTAATCTCAGCCAATTTCATCTGTCAAGACCAAGGTCAAAACTCATCTCCTCCAATAAACTCTCTATGACTCCTTTCACTCTTCTGACTTCAGAGTAAATACTGTATGTGAAGAACACTACTTTTCCATTACTACACTGATGACCAAATATAGGTGACATACACTGGATGCATAATAACTACTGTTCAAGGCGCTGTATACGTGTCATCTCCTTCAGTCCCCCCAGCAAGATTACATGGTAAAGAGAATGCTGGCTTTCCCTTTAAAGAAACTGAACTGAGACATGGAGGACTTGAGTCACTTGCTTACC